GAACAGGGCCTGGGCCCAGGCTGCCATTACCAGCACCCTCCCCTGACTTGTTTTTGGCCATACCACTCATCACCATCTAAGCTGCATTTTACTTGTCTGACCCCTTTTGGCACGAAGGCAGGGATTCCTGTCTGTGTGTACACTGCTTTATCCTCAGTACCTAGAAACAGTGCTTGGTGCACAAAAAGGCACTCCATGTATTTTGAATGAAAACCTGATGAATACAAAGCTAACACTTACTGAACAACTGCTACATGCCAGGCACATAAGCACTTTTGCATATACAATCTCATCTTTGTAATAACCCAATGAGGGAATACCTTCACTACTTTCATTTTTCTGATGAGACTGAGACTTGGAAAGGTTATGGAGGGTGCCCAAAGCCACAGAGTCTGTGAGTGGTGGAGCCCAGATTCACTCCAGCATCTGTGCTCCTAAGTCTTGGGGTTTCACTGTAGTTTAAAGTCATTACATGAAATATCCTGGCTATTCTGTGTCACAGATGGGACATCTTGAGCTCTGTTTTCTGTCTTTGCCTGAGCTGTGTTTTTTGTTATTCTAACAGATGAGGAGATAAACCTGATGTGTTCTCCATAAACAGGCACGCGTGCACACACACACACACACACACACACACACACACTCCTTCCTATAGTACATATCATAACAAGATTTAGAACACTGGAACTTGAAATATTTCATTAGAATAAGTATCTTCATGAAACTGCATGGCATCACTCACTTCCCACCACCCCTGATATCCACTAGATGAGAAGTCAGGTTGCAGAAACCCAGTGGTCTGAACTGAGCATTCACAGCATGGTCAGAGTATAAGCTGAAGAGCCCGGTCCACCCTTGAAATGATGCATTGCCCCTGCAAAACTGCAATGACACATTCATTTCTCCCTTGTGGGAAGAGTGAATACCTCAGGAAAGAATGGCTCTGGAGCAGGCAGCAGGGGATTGACCAAAAGGCAATCTGAAAGTGCAGGACCACCTTCTAAAAGAGAGCTCTCACTGTCTCCCACACGGCAACTAAAATGCTGCTTCAAGGGAGAGATGTGAGTGCCTAACTCACCAAGCAGAAAAAAAATCACTTGTGCAAAATCTGCACTGACCTCCACATTCCCATAAATGCTAACTCTTGGTGTACAAAGTGGAATGAACCCTTACATATTTGTGTTAGTGATATTATACAGGAGGTTCAAATTCAGATGATCCCTCTTCTTTGCCCTCCAAAGCCCAGATGGAGCTACAGATTTCTACATTAAGGTATTAAAGGTTTCTGATAAAATCCACCTATTTGGTATGCATGGAACTGGGCTGGAGGACGTAGGAATGAAAAAAGAATAAGGGAAAGCCAGAGCTCCCGTGCCTTGTCCTCCAGGGGCAAGATCTCAAGTAGAACAGTTATGCTTTCTGAGGTGTGTCTGTTAGGTCACTGTCAGCCCTGTATGAGCAAGCGCTGTGGTGCCACTGAGACACCCAACAGGAGACCTGGAGGTGGGCGTCCCAAAGCATTTTAGTTACACCAAGTCTGACTGTAGGGTTTTCTCATAGGATCTCAAAAGTTGTGGTGCCTCCCACTGGTCCTAAAACACCTAGAGCAGAATCACCTTTGGTCCTGGTCTAAGAGCAGATTCCTGGGCCCCATCCCATGGCCATACAGTCGAAGTCTCTGATGGCTGGACCCAGGAATGCGTATGTTAACAATCTCCCCAGGAGAGTCTGATGCTCACTGTCCACGTGACCACTGCCCTAGTGGTCACAGATCTAGATCCATAAACCTATAATTGGGATCAAAAAGTTCAATGTGTTATTCTACATTCTTTTTCACATTGGCGTTTTTTTTTCCTTGTACTAGTTTAAAACCATCTTTTTAAGGAGTGCCCAAGATGAAAGCTATAGTCTTTTTATAATCAAATCTTCAAAGGGACATCTTATCCAATCCTCTTCCCTCTCTTCTTCTTCTGGTTTGCCTATTATCCTTATATTGCTTTTTCTGATGGAGTCATATAGTTCTCTCAGAGCTCTTTCATTTTTTTATGCTCAGTCTCTCTCTTCTTCCCTCTTCTTCCCTTCTATCATAGAAATGAACACTTGAAACCTATGTTAACCGATGTCACCCCAACAAATTTAATAAAAAAGACAAAGAAACTTAAGATCACTTCTGCCTAATGAGTAAAAAAGGGAAAAAAAAAGGAAGAAAGAAACAAACAAATCAGGTAGAAGGGAGGGAGGGAGGGAGGAAGGAAGGAAGGAAGGAAGGAAGGAAGGAAAGAAGGGAGGAAGGGAGAGAGAGAGATAAAAGAAGCCATCTTATCATCTTAAGCCACATTCTATTCATTGGAAATCAACCACTAGGTCCAGGATACTCTCAAGGTGAGGTGGTTCCCAAGGGCATGAAGGCATCCCGGAGGCTTCTGGGCACAGCAGGGTCAAGTGTGAAGAGGGGCAGAAGAACCATGCTCTGCAAAAAGACTACAGCCAATCCTCACTAGTCACAGATTCCGTTTTTATGAATTTGGCTGCCTTCTAAAATGTATTTGTAATTCCAAAACCAAGACTCCTGACACTTTGGCAGCAGATTATGGACATGTGAAAAGCAGTGAAAAATGTGAGTCGCCCAACACACACATTGGAAACTGATATGGGACAACAGGAGGAGCCTAACCCTGATTCCTCCTGGGAGCAACAGTTCAGCATTTGCTAATTTGGTGTTTGGGGAGACTTTATAGAATATAACTACCACAAATAGCAAGAATTGATTGTACTTCAGTTTGAAACCCAACTCCACCACTGGCCCAAATGTGCCATTCTGAGCAAGCTTTTTAAACCTTCTGTGTTTTATTTTCATTAAGAGTAAAGCGGGGAAAACAACAGGACATACAACCAAGGGTTTTGGAGAGGATAAACTGTCAGTTCCTGGTGCAGCAGACGTGGCACAAAGTAAATGCTTAATAAACAGAGGATACTTTATAATTCTTTTTGTCTGCACTCACTTTCATCTGGATTATACCCAATTTTCTGGAGACTTTCTTTCCCCTATGCTGGGGCAGTGCTGGGCACGGAGCAGGCACTGATCAACCACATACTGAATGAAATAAGGGTTCTCTAGCAGGCGGAAGATCTAGAGCTCGAGGAAGAGTGAGGGCTTCTATGTCTGGCCTCTGGGTTTGCCATCCTAATTGTGGTTAGTGGGGGTGGGGGTGTGTGTGCAACATTATTAAGAACTCTCACACCGGAACCCACGTGATGACACTAAATCCATAGTATCGACAGACTGTTGACTCACTTCCCCCAGGAACCTACAGTATGCCCCACAGATGGGAATGTACCCAGGACGCATCAGCCGTGCTGTTTTCCCAACCACGCCAGGCGTGAGGCCAGAAGTGGATTTGGCCATAGCACACAATGGGATCAATCGTCCGTAAATAAGTCGCCTATGTTGTGTCAGAGGTGATTTTTCATCTCTAAATGATGAGTCATCGCTGTAGGAACTGAGGCATAAAAACTCCGTGGCCTCTGGCTTTGAGATTTGACCTTGCTTTTGCAAGTAGCTCTGCAAGCCAAAGGCCCTATCTCCCTCCGAAATGGAAAGCATTTGGGGGCTCTCCAGACTCTCTTGGGGAAGGGTGCAGGTGGATTTCAAGGGACCACCGGCCCTCCTGGGGAAAGTAGAGGTGTTACATGGGAGAGTTGTTATGGCCATGGCTGAAAGGGGGTGTGCACTGGGCCCTGTTTCTCGAGGGCATCCCGATGAAGCTCTGTGACTCAGGACCAGTTCACCTCTCTGAGACTCATCAGTGGAATAGGGATGGCAAACAGTGCTTATTTTGTAAAGCATAATACACAGGGCAACTCGCTCATGTGAAGGACAAAGTAACTTATTTTCAGTGGAGTCATGTTGCCACCCACCCCTTCTTCTCAGGGTTTAGTAATAGCTACTAACAATAGCTAACTTTTGTCGGGCATGTAGGTCCCAGGTTTTACCTCATCTATTCCTCTCCAAACCCTATTATTATTCCCATTGTATAAATGAAGGAACTGAGGTCAGAGACATGAAGTAACTTGCACAAAGTCACATAGCTAGGAAATTACAGGGCTGGGATTTACCCCCAAGTCAGTCGACTCTAGAACCTGTGCTAATATCTTGTACCTCCTGGGATGATATCTGTATTTTTTTAAAGATAACATTTTAACCTAAATATTCAGTAGAGATTTCAGGTGAGAGAGACATCTGGGGGTACAGGCCCTGCATCCCACCACATTCACTATTCTCTTTCCTCCATTTGCGAGCTGACCACCTGAACAGGGATTGCAAAATTAGCCTAACTCATCATGACTCCCTCCTCATAATCAGTCTTAAGGTCCTCAATCTTAATTAAGGAGCTGTGATCAGTCTGCATGCTACCAGACTTCAGAGTCTCAGGCTGAGCTGTGTGTGGAGCAGGGGGCAGCAGGCCCTCAAAACTTCACAGACATCACTACCCCTGCTTTATTTTTCAATAAAGCACTGTTTATTCTACACCTACTCAGTGCCAGGGACTGGACTCAGTCCCTGACAGGTTTTGCTGCTACTCCTCACAAAAACTCATGAACTAGCTACTAAAACTCCCATTTCACAGATGAGAAAATGATATTAGAACAGTCATGTGGCCTTTCAAGATAGACAACCAGTGATAGGCTGATCCAGCGTTCTTGTTCAGGGATGTTTGGCTCCAAAGCCAGACCTCCCACTTCACACTGTGACCTCGGAAGCTTCCCTCATGCTACAGACCTGCTCCTTGAGCCAAGAGGTACAGGGCACCAGACTGGATAAAAGGCTCTGAGTTTGTCAGGAGATGGCTGTGCCACATAAACAAAGGCCTCTTTGGGACAGAAAATATGTGACCCAACACCCCACCTAACATGTATTAGGGGTATAATGTGACTCAGATTAATTTTTATGCTACCGAGGCAAGGTGGAACTGGAAAGGCTCATGTGCCAGGATTCCTACCTTGGATGTCAACCACAGTGTTGAAGAAATGTCCTTAATTCCACCACGAAAAGGTCAACATTGTCAACAAAACGGTCGCTGCTACCAATCCAATGCTAACAGGAGTTCTCAACCTGGGGTGTGGTAAAAGAAGAAAATTTATTCAGGTGACCAGTTTGCAAACTAGAGAGACTCAGGCTCTGGCAGAAAGTAAAATTGTTCTCCTCTTCCCCATCAGGCAGAGATGAGGCAGATTTTTATAAAGTTCCCACCCTAGTCCCTGATTGGTCCATTCTTATGCAAATGAGGAATAAAAATTTGCTCAGTTTGGTCCTAATAGCACTGTCCTGACTTGAGGATGTGGAAAGACTCTCTGATTGGTTGGCAAACAATGCAAGTGAGAATATAGCTACACAGCTTCGATTGGACAGGGCAGCTCTCAGCCCACTGGTCAAAGTACAATTCCAGGAACTCCTTTATAAGATTTGGCTCAGATGGAAAGAATCTAATGCTGAAGGCTTGGTAGCTTATGTGGCCTTTCCTATTCTGTGGCTTTTCCGTGTGTGTGTGAGAGGCCTCTGTAAACAATGTCTGCTAGACTCTCATTATGAATTTGGGCCAGTTAACCACAAGGAGTCCTTTTTAGCCAGTATATTCCTTCTTGGCATTAACAATGTATAGACTAGCACTTCAAAAATCCCCTCAAACATGAACAATTTTTCAAAAAGCAGTATCTTAAGATAGAAGTAATAGAGATTTTTTAAAAAGTCATAGAACCAATTCTGACATCCAATTTTGGGGCAATTGGCCTCAAATATTGGCCTCAGTAGCACATACTGGTGGAGGTATACATTGAAATAACATTTCTGGAGGGCAACATAGCAATACAGATCAAAGAGCTTAAAAATATGCCAACTGTTTTGTTTTAAGGAGTGTATCCTAAGGAAATAATCAGAAATATGCACATATGAGCTTACCACAGCGTTATTTTTTTAAACAAAAATATAGAAACAATCTACATGTCTAATATGAGGGGACTGGGTTATATTAACTCACTGTGGTCAGCTAGGCCATGAGCTAAAAGCCCAGGACTTCCCCCTTCAATCCTGCTTCTCCACCAGTGCGCCCTCTCCATCCACCCAAGTATATCAGGTAGAAATCTGGAAGTGCTCCTAGAAGCCTCTCTACCTGTCTCCCCTATTCAACCAGCCACCAAGTCCTGTCCCACACAACTCTCGAAGAGATCTCAAACCCACCTACTTGCCTCTGTCCACTTGGCATCACCCTCATCCAACCTTCCCTCCTGGATACTCTATAGCTCCCTGTGTCCACACAGAGTACCCATTGCTAATCTGTCCTCTCCCCCTGGGCCAGAGTGCTCCTTTTAGAAGGAAACCTGACTAGGTTCCTTCTCTGCTTTCCTCTCAAAGTCTTTCTTGTACTTGTGATAAAAAAAATTCCACCACATGTCCAGCTGTAAGACCCTATAGCAGAAGTCAGCAAACTTTTCCATAAAGGTCAGTAAAAGGAGCTAGTAAATTTTCTATAATTGAAGATAGTAAATATTTTAGGCTTTGAGAGTCATACAGTTTCTGTAGCAACTACTCATTTTCCACATCACAGAGTGAAAACAACTATAGACGGTACATAAATGACTAGGCAGGCTCTATTCTGATAAAACTTTATTTTAAAAAGCAGGTGGAATGCTGGATTTGGCCTATGGGCTGTAGTCTGCTTGTAGTCTACTTGCCCTGTAGGATCCAGCCCCCAGTTTCCTGCCCCTCATCAGAACCTTGGGCAAGGTATTCCATCTACCAGGCATTTTCTCACTCCCATCTGTCCCCTGCCTGCCCCCTACCCTTACCTCCTTGGCCCAATACATGTCCCCCTTTACTAGGCAGTGATTTCTCACCATCTGATCTCAGTTTCTGGGTCCTTTCCTTAGGTGCACTACCGGATGCATGCAGGCTAGGCTAGGGCCCCCATTATCTCTAAAGAGTCAGGGCTTGTCCTTTGTTAAGTTTGCCAAACTTGAGATTAATTACTTCTTAGTGCAGATCTGTGTCTAGATGTCACTTCTGCTAGACCAAAATTCATGAGATAAAGGATTATGCATAATATTGATCACAACTTTTTTCCCAATATCTAGTAAGAGGCCTGATACACATAGAATGCATTAAAAACTTTTGGGAATGTTGACTAAATAATTACATAGATAGGAAAAATATATAAGGATATATACTAAAATATTAGGAGATAAATATATAGGTGATTTTGATAGTTTGTATATATTCCTCCATTTCTTAAAATTTTCACGAAGAGCATATATTACAAGTATACTCAAAAAATGAGCAACGTCAAATGAGAAAGAGAGGAGAGAGGAACAGAGAGATTGAGAGAGAGATTGGCCCTGACCTGTAAGATTAGTCCATTTTTGGCACACCCCACTTTGGACCCTCATCTTTTCTCGGTTCCTACTAAACCCTACTTCCCTTCTTGTTGCCTATACCTGGCCTTGCTCATGTTCTATAGGTGATTCCGTCAAGTCCAGGAGTACCTGTGTACCCAGGCAATGAGTTAGGTTAGACACTATTTCCAAGAGTGCCTGGCAGATGGACACTAGTGTACACACACCCATGTGGCCTAATAGGACTTCCGGGGCCTTCCAACTCCAAGTTTAGGGAGGAAAGAGGTTAAGAGATCAATTGCTGCCATGTGAGATTATAGGCACCAGTGGTTTTGCAATGCAGAAACTGTCTGTGCAGATGGGAAGTATGAAAGGAAACTTATTTATTTCACTCAGCAGTGGCTCAGCTTCAAACATCTGGTCATTTCCATGCCAGGCTGGTCTCCAAGTAGTACTCGGGGGCAACAGGCCTCACAGCCACCATGTTCCTGCTCATTCATCCAGCATTTCCCTCCACATTCAAGAGGGAGCCAGTGAAGATGAGGCTAATTATTACCTCCAAATAGAGATAGCATTCTGGTCATCCTCTGAAAGAATCTGTGTGGGTGGAATAAACATGGGGTTAATAATTGACAAAAATTGTGGATTATATACAAGGTTGTAGGGCTACAAAGACAAAAAAGGTTTATCTTAGTTCTTGATTCAGAAAGTTTCCAGACTAGTTGCATGTTCAAAAGAATCACATAGGAAATAATAAAAGGTAAAATAAATAGCAACTATAATTGTCAAACCAGTGAGAGTGACAGTAAGTGACATGCAGGTCACACTTCCTCCGGTTCTTACAAAATCAAGGCCATTAGTTTACATTCTTAAGCTTCATGGTGTATCTGAGCATTATTAGACCCACATTACAGAAAATCCCACCTCAAAGGACTTTGGTAATAAAGCAAGTGTCACTTCATATGTGATAGCATCAAGAGGCAGGGCAGAGGTTGGTCATTTAGAAGCTCACAAAGACATCTAGATTCCTGCTTTTTTTTCATTTCTTCATTCTGCTATCAGTTATTGTATCAATCTCAGATTTGGAATTAAAATGGCTATAGCAATTACAGACATGACATCAAGACATGATAATCCCTTTTTGTGGCTTCCTGCTTGGAATGAGAGAACTTTCCTTAGAAACCCTCCAAGAGACTCCCCTAATGTACCATCGACCAGAGTTGGGTCATGTGTCCCATGAGGTAATCCCTGGAAAAAGGGCAGATATGACCCTTAGATTAATTAGACCCACCACTGGAGCTGGGTCAGCTTCTTCTGAAGTATGTGGTTACATAAGGAATGACTTCTGTTAGGAAGGAGGAGAAACGAATGCTATTTTGGCCAATAATAAAATCTACCACTCACGGTTAATTCTAAAGGTAAGAAACATTTTATATCTGCAAAACCTGACATTGCAATTATCTTTCCAGCTTCATGTCTCACCACTCCACCTCTCTCGGTTTCTCTGTCTGTCTGTCTCTCTCTCTCTTACACATACACACACACATACACACACCTTAAGACTAATCAGGCTCCAATTCTCTCAGTTCTTCAAACGCCACGTGCTTTCCCATACCACTACGGAAATTCCCTCTGTTTCTCAACTCTAGGCTAATCACACACCTCTGTACTCCCACAGCAGTCCTGGTTTATACCTATTGCTCTGGCATAACTACTAATAGGAGCCTCATTATTCTCAGAAATGTTTCAATTTGGTTGAATTTTGATCTCTTCCTGGGCTAGAAACATGCAATGTGATACTCTCTTGCGGTGCCGGGCAGTGGTGTGGAGCCACAGCTCCTGTCAGCGACTCGATCCTGAGGGCAAACAACTGACACAGCGCGATGCGCTGCCAGTGCTGTTGAATATTGTGTTCTGAGCACATTCGAGGTAGGCTGAGGTAAGCCATGACGTTCAGTAGGTTAGGAGTATTAGATGCATTTTTGACTTAGGATATTTTCAGTTGACAATGGGTTATTGAGATGTAACCCCACTGTAAGTTGAGGAACATCTGTATTCAACCCACAATCCTTGCTTATTCTAGAAAAGGGGTCGGGAGCTTGTCTTTCAACATTCTAATCGTTTGGACTAGTTATTTTCCAGAAGTGGTTGAAACAGCATACAGTGTGAGTGCTGAGGGGAGGCTGAGGGGGAAAACCTTGAGGACCAAGGCAAGCAGTTGGTTTTGGTACAGAATGCTGGACAGTGACAGTTTCTCTGTCCCTCTGGGAATGTTAGTGCAGTTCCTGCTGATGCCACCTACTTCCAAGTTCCCTGGCCTGCCAGGCTCGCTGTGAGCATCTCTTAAGCAAGGCTGGTCTCTGAAGAAACCCTCTTTCCAGATCAATCTTTCCCCTGAGCCTAGGAAAGATTCTCCTCGCTTTGATCTCCTTCCATAGGTGCTGGCAGGAGATGGAAGACCCAGGGCCCATCATCCAGTAAAACATTTGTGGGTATTTCCATTCAAGCTTCTATCACACACAGAATTTTACCTTTTTGCCTCCATTCTCCACCACAAGCCAGAGAAACAAAGGCAATCCCACCTGTGAACTGTTTCAGACCCATGCTCACCATCTGTCATGCAAAGGGGAGAAGAAGAATTGTGGTCTTTATGAACCATGGAATCTTGCACCCCAAGTCTGGTCACTTGGCGGCTCTCTGGATCCCTTCACCTTTTCAGCCCCAGCT